GGGTGCCGCCCAGTGGTGCGCCAGGGGAAGTACAGCTTTCCTGAGCCACTTTCCTGCCAAATGGAGCTGTGGAAAATGGGACCTTGCACTGGGCTGGGAGGCCCTCCCCCACACACCCACCCACCCCAAGACAGACCTGCAGCTAAAATGAGGACCTAGGCTCCTTATACATCCGAACACCTCCTGGATCTCAGTTGTAACCGGAGGCCGGGATCCTCACCTGCTGTGGGCCGCAAACCCACGAGGGCTTTTCTTTTCTCGCCGTTTACACACCTTCTTTCAGTTTTCCACGTGAAAACCCTCCATTTTAGTCCCATCCTGCATCTTTCCTTAAACTGCCAGCTTCAGAGCACACACCTCGCCTGTGTCCGTATCTGTAGGTGGAGAAACTGGCCCGGACGCTGTTCTTGTGGAAGATTGAAGTGCATGACCAGAAGGAACGTGTATACGAGATGCGACGCTGGAATGAGGCTTTAGTCACCAACATGTTGCCTGAGCATGTTGCACGGCATTTCCTTGGGTCCAAGAAGAGAGATGAGGTGAGGGGTGAGCCCAGCAGGCTAGGGCCAGGAGCCCAGCCATTGTCTTCCTGTGCTCTTCCTTCCGGGAGTGCCCTGGGGCCCAGCCCGAAGCAGCAGCGTTAGCAGAAGGGAGTCCCCGGGCCTCCTGTGGAGGACAGCTGTAGACCCTGCTCAGGCAGCCACATGCAAAGGATGGGACCAGGCCAGCCTCCCGCTTCTGTCAGTGTGATCCTCTGATAGCAGCACGGGGTCACCAGCTCCACAGAATCCTTTCTCAGAGTTGGGATGTTACAAGAGCTGGCACAGCTGTTTTTCACCTATTCCCGAGCTGATGAGCTATGCTCTTATTATTCAAAATTGGGATAATCTGAGAGGAGCCTGAGCCTGAGCGCATGCATCGAGTGTGGAGAAGTGCACACTGGGCCCTGCCTCTTTCCAGGAGCTGTACAGCCAGTCCTATGATGAGATTGGAGTCATGTTTGCTTCTCTGCCCAACTTTGCCGACTTCTACACAGAGGAGAGCATTAATAATGGTGGCATTGAGTGTCTGCGGTTCCTCAACGAGATCATCTCAGATTTTGACTCCGTGAGTGCCCTCCCGCCCCTCCTGTCAGGTAATCCATTCTAGATTACCTCTCAGGATGAAGTCAGAGAAGTGAGAGACTACATGGGCTCCATTTTCCCATCACATCTGTGCTTCTGTGGCCGTGTAGAACAGCTTGTTCTGAAGGGTGCATGGGAGCCTGGGAGTCAGAGTAAGGACCAGCCAGCAAGACCCATAGGCGCCAGGATTCCTCCTAGCCCCAAACTCAGATTCGGTAAACATTTATCGAGTACCCTGTATACCAGGGAATGTACTCTTACACATATGCTCAGTTACCCCAGAGCTGGCAGCTGTAAGGTTGTGGAAACAGCCTCAGAAAGGCAAGGATCATGTGGCAGGTAGGTGCAGAGTAAATAAGGCTTTGCTAGGAAAGCCTCTTGGCTGCTTTGTGGGGTCCCTGTAAACGGACAAATCTGACTTGGCTCACGCACATCTCCTTGCCTCTGCTAACAATCCTCTTTGCTTCACCCTGGCCTCAGCTCCTGGACAATCCCAAATTCCGGGTCATCACCAAGATCAAAACCATCGGCAGCACCTATATGGCTGCGTCAGGAGTCACCCCAGATGTTAACACCAATGGCTTTACCAGCTCCAGCAAGGTATAGGGGCTGGAGAGGAGTCAGGATTCTGCCTGGGGGCAAGAGACAGGCAGCAAGTGGGAAATGAGAAATTGTACATGAAAAACAAGAAGTTATTTTGCACTGTCACGTGAAGGGCTCCAAAACACATAGCGCCACGACATCAGTGCAGACACAGACGAGACTCACCGAGAAAGTCTGATGAGTGGAGAAATGGCAGAGGAGACAAACCCCATCCCTGTTCCAGAGGGAGGCCTAAGAGGGCGAGTGCAAGGCGGCCGTGCCCCTTTCAGGCTGTGCACTTGAGAACAGGGGAACAGGAGCCATTCCCACAATGAAAACTTCAAGGGAGGAACCTGGGAACTCACTGCCTGCTGTGGCCTGTCCTTTGCTAAGGTGATACTAAGCTACAAAGCCACTGTTGACCTCTCAGAAGTATGGGAAATGAGCTATGGGGCTTTGGTACCCAGCACTGTTTGTCACCCTGCTTTACCTTGACAATTGTCCCATAATGGCAGCGCTTGGCGCCAGGCCCCCATGGCTCATTTCCCATTTCTGGGCGAGATTAATGAAGTAGGGCAAGGGCCCCAAAGGTCTATAAACTACTCAAATCCAAACAAGGACAACTACACAAAAATCTGAAGACCAGGCTAAAACTGGGTGATGAAGAGACTTGCCTCCTGATCAGGTACACAGCAGGCAGGAAGCAACCGACTTGGACAGGCTGTGTCTCCCTCACTGCAGCCCAGTCTGCCCTAGGCCTGCTAGAGGGACCTGTGAGTCCTTTGTACAGTGAACGCTGGAACTGAAGTGGTTGCTGGCTCCCTTGTGGCAAGGAAAGAAGGCCACTAGCAGCTAGGTGTAGGAATTTCCCCAGAATGCTGCTACCGGAAAGCAGCAGGTGAGGAGGCTGCTACAGTCGTGGCCCGGACAGCTCCTGATGCTTTTCCTACTGCTCAGTACAGGAGGAGAAGTCAGACAAGGAGCGCTGGCAGCACCTGGCTGACCTGGCAGATTTTGCACTTGCCATGAAGGACACGCTTACAAACATCAACAACCAGTCCTTCAACAACTTTATGCTGCGTATAGGTAAGTGCTCCAGCTGCCCGCCCAGCTGTGCTCCTCCCTTCTGGTACTGAGGTCAGCAGGAAAGACCAGAGGCCCCGGAGACAGCAGGCACATGGGGTGGGCAACGGTGGCCTCACCCAGAGTGGGTGGAGACTTGAAAAGTAGTCATCTTCTGGTGTCACATCGGAAACCTGAGTGATGAAATGGTCAAGTCAGACCTGGCCCTACTGATAGTGACAGCCCAGCCTTCCCTCTGAACCTGGCCAGGAAGTCTGTTGTCTGACTTTCCAAGGTCTAGTCGTGCCTGCTGAGGGCTTTGCTCCTTTCAGACCAAGACAGTCAACATCACCTGCCACTTCCTACTGGTGTGTGTGGGGGGGGAGTCACTCCGGGGTGAGGTGCAGGAACTTCAAGTACTAGGTGTGTTAGGGAAGCTGACCACTGCCACCCTGAGTGAATTCAATCAGCATACCAGGGCAGCAGAAATTTGCTAAGGACTCAGTGAGAACAGGGTAAACAGACATGACTTCGGAAGCTTAGAGACCTGACTTAACAAGGAACGTGGATGTCACATAACCAGCTTTGTGGTAAGGGCCAGGGGGCAAACTCTAGGACAGTTACTTCTGAGCAGGTAATGGAGGCTTGGTGCGTGGTTGTGCTCGGTGTGAACTTTATTCCCCCTACACCAGGCATGAACAAAGGAGGGGTTCTGGCTGGGGTCATTGGAGCCCGGAAACCACACTATGACATCTGGGGCAATACAGTCAACGTGGCCAGCAGGATGGAGTCCACAGGGGTGATGGGCAACATTCAGGTATGTCCAGCAACAGGGCTGTGTCCTCAGGTTCAGGGAATAGGACAAAGGCGAGCTCTCTGCTCACGATCGCCTCCTGCCGGCGGCCCACAGTGCACCTCTGCAGTGCTGCAAGATGAAGGCCCAAGGCGGGGAGAGCCTCCAGCTCATTCGGGACACTCCTGCTTCACTTCTGGGGAAATGAATCGGCCCCTTGGTGGGAACTTTCTGACATTCTGTGTCAACAGTTTTCCCTAAAGCAGCCCCAATCTCTGTCGGCTGGGCCTGTCAGAAAAGCTCCACAAAATGGACATGCGGTCAGAAGAGCAGGGAGGAAAGTGCCTGGACCGTGTCCCACACGGGCAACTCATGACTGTCTTTGGGTGGCTCTGGAGAAGTCATCCTGGGTTCCCTGTCCCTCAGCCCACCCCCAGGGGGCTGGACTAGGGCCCCTGTGCTGGCCGGTTCAGCTCCCTCCCTGACCCAAGCTCTCTTACTCTGTTCTTCGTGTGCAGGTGGTGGAGGAAACACAGGTCATCCTCCGAGAGTATGGCTTCCGCTTTGTGAGGCGAGGTCCTATCTTCGTGAAAGGGAAGGGAGAGCTGCTGACCTTTTTCTTGAAGGGACGAGACAGGCCACCTGCCTTCCCCAACGGCTCCTCCGTGACACTGCCCCACCAGGTGGTGGATAATCCCTGAATGGCCTCTGGCCCCACAATGGTCTACATGGGAAGGGAGAACTTATTTTTTGGAACTGAAGAAAGGCATTGGGAAAGGGCAAATGACCAAGTTCCAATGTTCTCAAATTGCTGAAGTGCACACTCCGATAGACTTTAGGTTTAAGAATCTCAAGCCTTCATCTGTTTGTGGGTACGTAAGCTCTGAGGGTGGCCGTCCTATTCTTCGGTGTGCCTGTAGCTTCCCCAGAGTAGGAGTCCTAGGCATAGTACTGGAACAGCCCTGCCAGAGCCCTCATTGCCACTCAGGCCTCCTCCCCCAGAGAGGCCATGGCCACTGTGAGCAGGAGCAGAGCAGAGGTGGGAGCAGCCGCCTGTGCCGCCGGACTGGGAGAAGTAGGGCGCTCTGCTAGAGGATGCTACGCTCCCTGCTGGAACTTGACAGCCAAGCTGTTGTGTAGGAGCTCCCCTGGGGACCTGGCTGTGTCTCCACATGGTCCCAGTTAGGTGAAAAATGGCCCTTGTCCTGATAATCTTGAAAGGTTCTTGTGGAACCCTGTCACCTTAGTCATGAGAGCAGAAAGTGCAATATTTCCTTTCACCTGGTGGGGGGAGGGGGGTTATTTCTGAAAGAAAATTATATAAACAGATCTACATTTATATTTTTAACCTGTTAAAAAACACTTTCCAATATTGCCTTGCCTTTTGAGCTCTTGCTACAGTCGCCTTTGCTACTGCTTTAAAAGAGAATTTACAGGTATTGACAAAGAACAAGACTGTTTTATTAAAAGCTTTACTCAACGTAAATGGAATCGCTGTGGCAATTCTGTTAATGTGTCTTGTTGAGTGCTTTGCAGATTCAAACCACTGGTGGCCATCACATGCCTAGAAGGCAAGAGCTTGAAGTGAGACATCACTTTATTCCTAAGCTGCTGCTTCTAAAAGGCAGCCGTGCCGATTTACTATCCCCAGAGTTTACCGGGCCTCCCGCATGTGCCAGAGCCTCATCAGCGTGTGGTCTAGAAGTGGCCGTGAGTCCAGCGCTGGGCGTGGGAGAGTGAGCAAAGGGACAGAATTGTGGGGAGAACAATTGTTGTCAGGTGGCCCTAAGCCAAGGAGAAGGTGCCAGCACACTGCAGGCTCCAGAGAGTACACTAATGGGCCAAGGAGGCAGGGATGAAGAGTTCAGAGTCATGGCTGGACTGTGCAGAAGGAACCAGGATCGGGGACGGCCTGCTCACCTCTTCCACAATGACTGAATTTATGGGCAGATTTCTAATCGTGATTTCTCAAAGTGACTTCATACGCTTAGCTTTTATTTTATCCAGTGGTATTTTATCACACCATATTCCTTATAAAAAAAAGGGGCCTAGAATACACATTGCTCCATACCAAAGATTAAATACATTTAAGTACATGACCTACATATCATGAATCTAGACTGTTCTAAGAACTTCCCTTACAAAAGTCTTAGGAAAATGAGGCAGAATTATTTGAAGCTCCCATAAACACTAAAATTTCTCTTTAGTCTTTCAAAAAATGTCTACTGGCCTACACACCATTCTGATTTTCAGCTAAGATATATGCTCAAATAAGTACCTCAGAAGAATACATGATCTTCGGCTTTATAACAAGTGACCAGGCAGTCATGGAAAACCGTCCCAAAATTTCAGTGTCTGTGGATTCAAGCTTACTCCTTGTCATCCTGACGAAGCTGCAGGGGTTGCCATGACAGGGATGTGCCTAGACAGATCACAAGCTTCTCAGCAGCCTGCAGTTCTAAGGCTGGCCCCAACGGAAACAGCACTTTAGGAGGCCAGGCTCAAATCCAGCTCTTCTTCTCTTGCAAATGAAGCAAACACCCGATGCAGGGGCTTGGTGCGGAATAAAGCTTCATGGGATGCTCGCTGCTCTTCCCACGAAGCAGACAGTGCTTCTGTCCCTAAAGAGAGATTTCTGTTCATCTCCGTGCAGCGGGAGGAATGAGAACCTCGGCCTTCACTACTTTGGACTCATACAACTGTTCCTTATCTAGAGCTAAGAGAGGCTGCCCCTTATGGGACCAATGTAATTTTGAGACTGCAGACTTAAGCAGATTCTACCCAGAGAAATCTAAGGTGTGACACTTGTGACAGTTTCAAAATTTCTGGTTCCTAAAAACATTTTACCCCATTTTTCATAATTGTCAGTGTCATATTATGACACATTTAACTGAAAGAAGTTCACACACCAAAAGTCCTCTTGGGCAACCCTGAAAAATTCCCCTTTGGAAAACAGACTCCAGAGAGCCAAGCATCTTCTGACGTGGTAGGTCTGTCTGGTGTCACTGCAGAATGAGCCTTTGGCTCCATCATAAATGAACCTGTACTCAGCCTTGGCTGTCCTGTTCCAACAGGTAGTCTCCCATAAACACAAGTCAAAACTGAAAGAACATGGGTAGAGGTAGGGGGACTAGGACTGGTTACCATTTACATAAAGGAAACACTGGTAGCAACAAAGTAGTCTTTATATGTTAACCAGTAAATTTATAGTATATAAACAGCAGAAATGTCAAAGGGTTCACTTGACAGAGTTTACCTATTTACCTGTTTCGCTCAAGCTGATGAGAGCAGAGTGTATTACAAGACTTCTTCGCCTAGGCATCTTTCCCTCTTACCTTGATACGTAACAGTGATGTCAGTTGGAAGAGTTGCAGTGAGGTCCTCATACAGCAATCTGGCACAAAAGGAGTACTGACCCATCAGATCCACTTTGTAAGTAAATGACAGCAAGTTGCACAGGGAGTTTCTTTGCAAGGGTCCAGTTAAAAAGGCTGCGAAGTCGTTCTAATGGGTGAGACACAAACCAAGTATATGACGACTACCACTCCAAAGGCAATCCAAAGTGGACGTGACACTTCAAACCTATCTACAGGGCTGGGGATCTAGCTTAGTGGCACAAGCACCTGCTTGGCAAGTGCAAGGTCCTGAGTTCAATTCCCAGCACCAAACAAATAAACATATCTATAAAGAGATGGTCGTTTAATTAAATTTCAGAGAAATAAATGGGGAACAGAAAAAGGAGCAGGGTATAAGAAAACTAAACCAGGCACAGTGGCACATGCCTGTAATCCCAGCTATTTGGGAGGCTAAGACAGAAGGACCACAAGTTTGTGACCAGCTTGGGCAATTCAGCAAGACTCTGTCTCAGAAAGGGCTGGGAATGTTGCTCAGCTTTAGAACCCCCGGGTCTGACTCCTAGTATCACCTAAAAAAAATTAGCCAGACACAGTAATGTGCACCTGTAATCTCAGCTAAAACCCCATCTCAGAAAGGGGGTTGGGATGCTAGGGATATAGCTCAGCAGTAAAGAGTGCTTGCCTAGCATATGAGAGGCCCTGTGTTCAATCCCCAGTACTGCCCCTCCAAAACAAAACAAAAAATTTAAAATACAAAAAGACAATGTGCATCTATATTCCTTTTAAGTCTAACTTGGGCCTACAGAATGAAGCATATAAGATCCTAGATAAATACCTGAAGTTGATCTGCCTGGTACTTCCTCCCAGAGTAAGCGTTTAGGGACTCACACAGACTGAACAGGAAGTGCTGAATATCAGTCTGTAGGTATTTTGCAGCTATCTTTTCTAGAGGAATGAAGACTGGAATGGAATGGTGATGGATCCGGAGTGGTTTCTGTATGACAAGGTCCACAAAGTAGGAATCCAGTAGGTTCCCCTCAAAAGCAGTGCTGATGCAGACACACACCCCGCGACTGGTCAGTTTTCCACTGAGCCCTGAGGCAAAGGTGAGATGATACCTCTCAATAGACACCAGGAAAAGGCACCTGACTCACCCAAGCATCCCAGCACCTCACACAAGGCCTGGCATACAGACATGATGATGCTTGTTTCTTTTTTGGTCCTTTTGAGACAGGTCTCGCTATGCACTTCAGGCTGGCCTTAAGCTCACTTTGTGGCCCAGGCTGGTCTCAAGCTCACAACTATCCTCCTACCTCAGCCTCCCAAATGCTGGGATTACAGGTGTGTGCCACCACATCCAGCTTAGACATGATGATGTTTCTTGAATGAGTATAAGGTGATTTCCTCTTGACTCAGGCTCACAGAGACTAAGTTGCTATAACCATGAAGGGCTGGGCATGGTGGCACATGCCTGTGACTCCAGCACTCAGGAGGCTGAGACAGGAGGATCACTGTGAATTCAAGGCCAGCCTCAGCTATCCAGCCTCCCCCACAAAAAACAAATGGAAGGATAGCAGGAAAGAAAGGACACCCTAAATATCGAGTTATTAAAGAAAAAAATTAAGAAAATTTCAATAAACCCATTCTTTTTCTGCTTGAGTGTCAACTTGTGAAAACCCCAGTTTTTTCCCATGATCCTCCTGTGGCATAAATAGAATTAAATTCCAGTTTATACTGAAGCAGGGATTTGAAGAGTTCTAACTATTTGCCCAGTAACATAAAGCATGCCAACAGTAAAGGAAGTTCTGGTACAGGGTCTAGCACATGCTGAGTTGCTAAAATGAATGGTGTAAGCCAGTCACCAATTGATCTGCTGTAGAAAGTGGCCAAATTTGTAGGGAAAAGCTTGCCTACAAACCACGTGCTAGTATTGTGTGTATAATGTGGGGAAGGGGTGCAAAAGAAATTCTCATGAAGTAAGTCCACTCTAACAAACCACTGTAATTCACTAAAGACACAGTCCCAGGATGAATCAGCTAGGAAAAACATTGTACCTGTAAAACGATATGCCTGCAGAATCGCTTTTATGCTTTCCTGTTTCTTTTCCAAAACTTCTTGCTCTCCCATCTCCACTGTTGGGTCAGACTCTACATTGGCAGACGATGCTCTGGATCCATCACCCTGCAAAATATGCAGCCAATTTAAGCAGGTACACAGTAGCACACCAAAAAGTCCCTGGCCTCACCTGACTAGATAGAAGCAAAACGCAGAGTGTTTTCTATTATATAATAGAAATTAGTATAACTGTAGCCATCCAGCTGGTGCTATGAACTCACAGCAGAGCAATCACGCACCAGAGCAATCATGCACCAGACATCAGAGTAGAATCCACTAGCTGAACAATTAGGGTTTTGGTAGGAATTGCGTGAGGATTATAGGGGAAAGGAGAAACTCTAGGATGAGCACAGGGTATGCAAAATAGATCGTTATGAAGAGGTGAAGCTGGGAAAGCTGGTCTGAGTCAGACCATGAAGGTTTCAACTACAGGACTCTAGACCTGCATTTCTAGCTCTGGCCCTGGAGGTGCTATCAGGCTGACCTTCCTTCTGAGAATAACTCATCACAAGCTGGGTAAAATACCAAAAATAAGCAAGCAAGCAGAAGATGGCCTGAGAGTGTTAGAGAACAGCCTGAGGGCCAGGACTGAAGAGGAAAGGTAAATACTCTGAAGTAAGCTGGCTCTCCATACGCTGTGTCCCTCCCAGTACTTGGTGATTTATCTCAAGATGCCATACAGGAAGTAGGCTATACTTTATATACTTTATAGCAGTTTCACTGTCTGGAAAAACAAAAACTAGAGACCAATGTTACCAAAGCAGCCTTTTTATAGAATTAAATCCCACAGAAAAGGGAACCTGACCTTCTGCAAGCCATCTGCCCTCTAGGCATGTACAAATTCCTAAACTGCACGTGTGTGACTGGGGATGACAAACCTACACCGAAAACTTATAACAGTAAAAAAAGTAAGCAGAAACTTTGGCAGATAAACAGATCAGGAAGAGCAGCTTTAACAGATCTGTTCCCAACACACTTTCAAACCTTTGAGAGCTACACCTAGAAAAGGGCTACAGCTTAGGAGAAGGGCAAATGGGAACTAGATCACCACAGCGGGATGAAGACAGTATGAGCATATGCTATATGCATGCAGAAATATTAAACTCCCTTTGAAGGAAGATAAGAGCGCTCAGAGCCCCCATATTTTTTCATGCACAATGCTCACTGAATCAAAGGAAAATTACCAGGCATACTAAAAAAGAGGAACGATGACTGAAAATCATGAGGGAAAAGAAGACAGATTCAAGGAAATTACCTATATGAATTAGGTAAACTATAGTTGAACCCTATGAATCAAATGGAAATCTAGAATCAAAAACCACAGTAATGAAAATTATAAATTTAATAGATGTAATAGGCCGGGCGTGGTGGCACACAACTGTAATCCTACTATTTGGGACGCTGAGGCAGGAGGATTGCTCAATTCAAGGCCAGACAGGGTAACTTAGCAAAACCTTACATCAAAATTAAAAAATAAAAATGGCTAAAAATGTAGCTTATAGTTTCCCTGAGTTCAGTCCCCAGAAGGCCCTCTCAAAACAGCCAAGTAGTCAGAAAACACAGGTATATCGAGGTTAAAGATTATAACAGATATAAAATAAAGGGAAAATAAGATTAGAAAATTAGCAAAGATATAGGTCCCAGGAAAAAACCATACATAGGAGCCACCAAAACTACACATAGAATGAGACAGGCGCATTATTTAAAGAGTGGCCAAATTTTCCAAAGTAGATGAAAAACTTCAAGCAATAATTTAAGAAGCTCTACTGCCGGGTTTGGTGGCACTCACTCGTTTGTCATCCCGTGACTCTGAAGGCTGAGGCAAGAGGACTGCCCAAACTTCGGGCCAGCCTATTCTTCAGTAAGACCTTATTTCAAAAAGAAGGCTTTACAAACATCAAACCAAATAAAGAAAACAAACTGTGCTTGGCCATACTGTATTATGATATAAAACTGATGAAAACCAAAGAGAAAATCTTAAAGTGGTCTGACGGGCGAAAGACATCATATTCAAATAAGGCTGGCTAGTACCTAAATATGAAGACTAGCAAACACCTAATGCCTGACAGAAACCATGGATCCAGAAACAACTGAATGGTATAAAGTACGAACAAACACAACTTCAATTTATACATCTATACTCAGTGTAAAAATGAAAAACACAGTGAGAGATGTTTTCCAACAAACAAAAATGGAAAATTTACTGCAGAGCCTAACACTTAAAGAAGTTCCAAAAGGAGCTACTTAAAGGAAAATAATTCCAGGTAGAAATGCAGGAAGAGAGGGGCTGGGGATTTAGCTCAGCGGCAAAAGCGCCTGCCTGGCAAGCACAAGGTCGTGAGTTCAGTTCCCGGTACCGGAGAAAAAGCAAAAAAAAAAAAAAAAAAAAAAAAAGAAATGCAGGAAGAGAGAGCACTGAAAAAGGTGCGTATGTGTAGAATCTGAAAGAATACTGACTGTATAAAACTAATAGTACAATAAAACAATAATAGGTAGCCAGAGACCCAAATAATCACATTAAATGTTCATGGACCGAATACTCCAATGACTCTCAGGCTGGATTAAAAATGTTTAATTACATGCTACTTACAAGAAGAATACCTTAAATGTAAGGGCACTTATATTTAAGACTGCAAGTAGAAAAATGGAAAAATTTACAATGCAAAGCCTTGTAGGCTGGAGATACAGCTCAGTGGTACAGTGTTTGGTTAGCATGTGCAAGATCCTGTGTTCAATCTCTAGTATCTCCTCTCAAATAGCTGCTGTGATAGTCAGGCATGGTAGTGCACACCTGTAATCCCAGCACTCAGGAGGCTGAGGCAGCAAGGTGCCAGGAGTTAAAAGCTAGCCTGGACTACAAAGTGATAGAGAAAGACCCTGTCTCCAAAAAAGAAAAAAAAAGTTGGGCTGGGGATGTAGAGCACTTGCCTAGCATCCCCAAAGCTCTGGGTTCAATCCCTACCACCACAAAGAAAAGAAAAAAGTAAAAGTTGTACTTTCATTTTACAAAATAGACTTAAAGGTAAGAAGTTTAACTAAAAATAAATATTTTATACTAAAAAGGTTAACTCAATGAGAAGACAGTAATCTTTAACTGTCTGCAACCAATACTGAATATACAGAAAACCAGAATGAAGGAAAAAACAATATCATAGCCAAGAGTCCAGAAATTCAACAGAAGAAGAGAATATTAAAAACTGTTAGGGAAAATAAATCACCTATAAAGGAAAGCCCATCAGAATCACAGCCGACTTCTCAGCACAAACCCTCAAGTGAAGGAGTCCTTGGAGCGAAGTATTTGAAGCTCTAAAAGAAAACAACCTCCAATCCAGACTGATGTACCCCATAAAATTATCTTTCAAAACTGAGGGAGAAATAAGAAACTTCCAATGACAAAGAATACCTGAGGAAATTCATGAACACCAAACCAGCACTCCAAATTGTCCTAAAGGACACTTTACAAAGACATAACAAGGGCTATCACTCCATGAACCCCAACAGAGGGAATCCACCAGGCAAGGCAAACAATTAAACAGAGCGGAGGGAAAAAAGGGGGGTGGCAACAACAGGAAAATAACATGACAAGGATAAGCCAATACATATCAGTTCTAACCATCAATTTTAATGGTCTCAATTCACTAATCAAAAGACACAGACTGGCAGGATGGATCAAGAAGCAAGAGCCAACAATACGTTGCACACAAGAAACACATTTAATTCAAAAACAAATTCATAGACTGAAAGTCAAAGGATGGCAAACAATACTCCATGGGACAAGAACCCAGAAGAAAGCAGGAGTAGCTATTCTAGTTGCAGACAATGTGAATTTCAAGCCAAGACTGATTAAGAGAAACAAAGAGGGTCACTACATCCTTATAAAGGGAACAATCCAAGAGGAAGAAAGAACAACAATCATACATATATATGCAACAAATACCTGTGCACCCAACTATATAAAGCAAATATTAATGGACATGAAAAAATCAAATGAACCCTAATACAATTGTATTGCAGGATCTCAATACCCCACTGTCACAAATAGATCAACTAGACAAAAAAATCAACAATGAACTATTAGAACTGAACCAAACTTTCAAACAAATGTTCTTAGTAGATGTCTACAGAGTGTTCCATTTCTGAATACAAAAATCCAGCTATACATCAGAATACATATTATTCTCAGCTACACAGGGGACGTTCTCCAAAACAGACCACATACTAGCTCATAGAATATGCTTAAGTAAATGCAAAGGAATCTACAAGAACTTCATAAACACATGGAAATTAATTAACACCCTCCTGAACAACCAATGGGTCACAGATGAAATTAAAGAAGAAATCATAGTTTCTACAAATAAATGATAATGACAATACAACATACCGGAACTTATGGGACACAATGAAAGTGGTCCTATGAGGGAAATTTATAGCAGTGAATCAGGAAAACAGAACAAGCTGGGTGTGGTGCATGCCTATAATCCCAGCACTTGGGAGGCTGAGGCAGGAGGATCATTGTGAGCTGCAGACCAGCCTGAGCTACAAAGTGAGCTGAAGGCCAGCCTGAACTGCATAGTGAGACCCTGTCTCAAAAAGAAAAAAAAAAAGGAAAACAGAGCAAGCCTAAACAAACAACTATAATGTTGAACCTCAAACTTCTACAAAAAGGGCAGCCCAAGCCCAAAGCTTGTACGAGGGAGGAAATTATAAAGATCAGAGCAGAAATTAGTATGCTGGAGACTAAGGAAACAGTATAAAGAATCAATGAATCAAAGAATTGTTTCTTTGAAAGAGTAAATAAAATTGACAAACCCGTATCGAACCTTCCAAAAAAAGGAAAGAAAAGACCCAAATCCATGCAATTAGGAATGCAAAGGGTGAAAGCACAATGGACTGTGCAAAAATCCAGAAGATCTGTAACTACTTTGAGAACTTGAATTCTATTAAGATAGAAATACAGAAGAAATGGACAGACTCCTAGATACATGTGAATTACCAAAGCTGAATCAAGAAGATATAAATATTCTAAATAAACCAGTATCAATGAAATCAAAGATGCAATTAAAAAC